GAGTCACAGACAAAAACAATGCATTCAAATTATTTTTAATGATCTCGTTAACAGAGAGCGTAATTCAATATGACTGTTCAGTCGAGGGTCAAGCGAGTCTGCCTCGACGAGCGTTACTTGTTTCTTAGCAAATTTGTATTCTATCTATATATTTTAATGCGTTGCATTGTTTCCTCAAGTAGCATACAAGTTTTTTCATCATTGTCTGAGTTTTTTCAAGAAACTGCATAGGATTTATTCGGGATCATTCGGTGGATATTTATTTATTGAGCAAAAATAAATAAAAATAGCGCATTAACAGAAACAAAAATCATCATGTTTTTTAGAAGATATCTCGTTAACTATAGTCTCATTAGAACAAAGCAGCCACAACTTCTTAAATGGCATTTACTCATTGAGAATTGTGAGTAGTACATACTTAAAAGGGGAAGAATGTACGAATACTACTGGAAATAGCTGCAGCGATTAAAGATATATTTCTTCTTTTCAATATACATGCGTTGAAGTATAAGCTATGTAACTGATGTATCTATGTAGGCTTAACTTCAAAATCAAATGAGAAAATAATGATAAAGGTTTATGGCGTGATTGGTGACACTCCTGCTCTGAATTTAATATTGAACCATAAATCACACGTTGGATACAGCTGCTGTTGGTATTGCCATATCATAGGAACACATATTGGTGGCAAAAGACAATATTATTATGATGAAAATGTCTCGCTCAGAAGTGCTGCCGATTTTGAAGCCGATTCGAGAAGAGCAGAAAGCTTAGGAAAATCCGTCAACGGGCGACATGGAACATCTATTCTAAAAAAAGTTGTTGATATTCCATTACCTGATTCTATCGTTGCTGATTATTTACATACAACACTTCTTGGCCATGCAAAAGCTGTGTGTGTTTATTTGTACAAGCAATACATGCGACCTCAGGAACGTATCCATTTCAACAAGAAAATTCGTGCGCAACGATTTCCACATTTTTTCAACCGAAAAATTCGAACGTTCGAAGAGCCATATCTAAAGTAAGAGACTTCTATGAACGAGTATTTAACTATCAGCTTTGTTTTATAGAGCTACAGAAATAAGAAATATGTTTCTATTTTGTATATTACCTATGATTCGAGAAATACTCCATGTTGATCTAGTGGCACATCTTGCACTTTTCGTCCTTGGAATTCGTGTAAGTCAAATGAAATATCTTGTTAATGACTAGGAAAATCCGTATCTCGACATGTAGCAAGCTATCGTGAGGGTTTAATGAGAACGACATTGAAATCTTATATAATGTGAATGACATTATTATTTAAATGAACGACCAAGCATCGCAGCAAATTTTATGACTCGTTCAGACAATACTCATCTAGATGTAAGAAGCTACTGACTTTACTGTCTAGAAACGACTTCATTTGATGGAACTCAATAATAAATCAAGTTGTGCGAAGGTTTCACACGAAAAGTTTATATAGTATTAACTAATAAATACAATCAAAAGGAACATTTCATTTTTAGTTGCTTCACGGTCGACCAGAGTTTGGCAATCGAACTGCAGACATTGCTAATAAACTTCTGACAATATACTATCGCGATCACGAAACCTTTTACGTTGGTTTGCAAAACTTCGTGCTTCATATTCACAGCCATTTCGCTGACCTTTACAAAAAGCACGGCAGCTTATGCAACATCAATACCTTCTCACAAGAAGATCTTATGGGCGTTGTGTCAAAGTTAAAGCACGGAGCTAATCATTGGGCAGATCAACTCGTCTTTTATTTAAATGTAAGATTTTCATATAATTATCGTTTAATCCGATAGAAAAAAAACACATTCCAAATTTATCAATAGTTTCAAACCTATTCAAATTGATTCGAAAGACAGTTGTAAAAATCATAGTTACATTCATATGCATCTCTAAAGAGAATTAGGAATTGAAATGGTACATTTATTATTTGGAAATCATAGAAGATTGTCATCCACGTTCGAAGTTAATAAACTATTTCTTACTTAGTCTCTCAAGGGCTGTTCATTAGAAACTATCCGTTACCATATAGTTACCATGTTTCATTCAAGATCACATATCCCAATGGCATTGAACAGTACTTCTGATCATTTTTCCGTGCCTTTCTAGATTGATTTTGCATTGAACAATGAAGTGAATCATACGGAACCAACAGTTTTGATTCGAACACCTAAGGGAGTGTTTGATAATACACTTATGCCTAATGAATTATGTCAGGTAGTTTCAAGTTTTACTCCTGAAAATGCTTTTAGTCATGTTTACATACATATTTAGGTGATAAATAGTATTCATTCATCGATGTGCAATTGCCAACAGATCATGGAATGCATGAAGTTTTACCGCCGACTCAGGAAAAAAAATGAAACAGTTTATCATTCCTTAGCTTATAACAAAAGAAAATCATCAATTTCATATTTTGTTAAGTATGGAAACTCGTTTGGCAGCGTATTGGTATTTATGCTGTGTAATAACAAGGAATATGCAATAATTAATTATCATGAGAAGAAAAGTCGTTTCTCCGATCATTTTATATCTTCCTACTACTATAGCATTTTATCAAAACCGCTCGATTCCTTTTTTTCTGTTTTGAGCAAACTATCCAATCGACTCGATGTTTTTGATACTGAGTGTCCCATGGAAATGTGTATCGTCATCGAAGAGGATGATTGTTATGTAGTCTCTCCGCTATCCGTATACCATGAGCACGATTGATGATTAATAAAAAAATGTAGTCCTATATTTATATGCGTAGATTGCTTCAATATCTATGAATGAATTATAAGCACGATTCTTATTTATAGATGATATGCATCTGCACGTAGATTTCGGCGCGTACCATGTATTTCAGAACTAACTCTTTTTTGTTGCTGATCTATTTATAACTGAGAAATTGACATTCTTCATTTAAATTGAGTATTTTATGACTGTGAATTTCCCGAAATACACGCACAATATTTAGATATACTATTTGTAAATATTCAGATAATAGTATGGAGAGTGTGCCTATAGAATTAGGGAAACGGATGTCACGGCCGCGACAAAGATTGTCACCAAGTGATAATGTACATCGACCTAGTCATTACCTTTTACACTTTCAATCAACTGATTCATACAACATAGCCATGTACAGTAGCTTGAAAAATATAAGCGGACGTAAAGCAAATCTCCATATCAATGGTCAAAACGTGGTTGCGGCCATTGTTACATCCGGTACTTATTTCCATACTGTGACTATGTCGGTCAACAAAGTTTTCTTTTAGGAACACTAGAATTTTGTGAAAATGAGCACAGGAAAATCACACGAGCGTCGCAAACTTCCACTGAAAACGATCAACGTCAGTATGTACTTATCAAGCTAGCTGCTATTCATCAGTTGATTTTCAGGCGAAATATTGAACGAAGATCGAACTGGAGAAGCTCATCAAACTTTGAATTCTCAACAAAATGATTTGATTCGTTTATTAGCTCCGTCAAATCGTCAAACTTCTTCGGTCGGGAAAGATCATAGCTGCCAGCAATCTGATGACGAAAGTAAGTACATCCGACAGCTACGCTTATACTCTAAGATATCATCGAAGCTGTATAATATGACGAAAGCAAACAGAGATGTTGCAGAAACAGAAACATCGTCAAATAATAAATATATTGATTTGAGTAAAGTTTGAAATATCAATTTCTTTATGATATAGGTTATAGTTCACGCTCAGATATTGACCAGAATAACGAATCAGAAGATGATATTCTTCTTAATAGTTTCCCTCGTTCGACCGATGCATTAGGTGTAAACCACCAAGTTAAATTGAATAAAAGGAAGCGTAATGAAACTGTGCCAAGCACTAATAAGTTGAAACAACAACGTGCCAATGCCATACATAGTGAGCATTCTATTTTAAAAAACAATCCAATCGTCTGATGTTGTTTACGTAATTAGATGGCGACAATCCGCAGAGATTGGTTAGTACAAACTTGAGTGTTTCTCATGAAACGAATACCAAAGGTAAGCAGATTTTATACATTTTGTCGATATGGTTAGCTATACATGTTTAATACTCTTTAGAAATTCTCAGTCAAATTGAAAATCAGATTGTTATCTATAAAAATATGGTCGACAAAACTTTAAAACGAATGGAGCGAAAACTTGATCACCATCTTGGCATTAGTAATATACAGGTATTTTTCTTGTAAAACCAAAAACATTGTCAATGCTCTATTCATTCTTTAAAGGGCTCTAAGATATTGGATCAGTATCGAACTGATAAAAACGAAGTTTTCCCGTCCGAATACGTATGTTTAAGACGAAACGTTTCCTATGATGAAAAGGAAAATCTTGCTTCGACGTTCTCTAGAAATATCAGGATAAGAACTTATTGATCACCTCAGCCAAAGATATGCTTGATTTTGCCCGAAAAACGTTGAGAATAATATTCTCTGCCGATGAACTCAAGTCCCACATATTACCACCGGAGCGCGAGCATCTTCGTCGACCAGCTCTTGATGAAGCACGTTTCAATGTCTTTCTCGGCAAGTTTTCTTGACAGATTCTACAAAAAATCTAAATCATAATGTATTATGTCATTTTAAGAAGCCATCCGAATCAAATTTCGATTAGATCGTGACTTGATGCATCAATGTTTCAATGACTTATTGCGCACAAAATTGTCAAACTTTTTATACGAAGAAAGAAGGAGAGAATTCCGAAGAAAAGCACGCGAATATGAGAAAAGTGTAGCAAAAGTAATTCAATATTTCTCTTTACGCTGACTTTGCCATCTAAATATTTATTCCTTTAACTAGCGAAATGTGGTCTCAATGGCACATGATCATCAAGAAAATTTCGATCATGGAGATTACGAGGCAATTTAATGGTGTATTCGTCACATCGACTCTTTGTCAACAGATATATTCCGCCTTTATTCTTTATCATCTCATACTGCATCTCCTTCTTTTATTTCATGGATTAATGTGATTCAGGCGTTATTGTTTTATTTCATTATGTAGTTAGAAAAAAATCATTTTAGTCCCTATGTATTCCACAGTCTCATTCAAGTTTGGTATGTCACACAAAACCAGGAAAACCATTTCGATGATTTGTTTCGGAAAAGGTATGCAATGAAATCCAAAATTGATTAAAGCAGACGTGTGTGATGAATTGATGGTAAAATTTTCATTTCAAATATTAGTAATCTGTATTTAACTTAAGAAAACGATTTATCCTTCCAATGAAGTCATATTCTTCGAAGAGATAGCAGATTTAGTGGCAGAAAAGCATCTTATATCGAAACGAGTTACTAATGAGTTCACAATGAAAAGAAAAATCACTAGTTCAATAATCATATGCAAAAGGGAACAAAACGGAATAGTAAATAATAATAACAACAGTAGTCGAAGAACGATAATGACAGACGCGACTATCGTTCTTCTGAGGATAGAATTCAAGATAAAATATATAAAACGTAGATATTGCATAAAAAAATTAGAACAATAAATGGTATCATGGATGACAAGAAGCGACTTTTATTTTTCACATCGAGAAGTATTTTCATTGTTGATCAGCGTGAGGATTCAAAGCTGCCTGTTTGCGTCGCTTTTTGTGGGAATTTAAAGCAAAATAGTTCACCATGGCTCGCCTTACACTTGATCGTGTTGATTTATCATTCGGATGACAATGCATTGAGAAAACTAATTCATAAACATTGATTAATACAAATAAAACAATTTCATGTAGTTACTAACCGACAACAGCATCAGCAAATGTCTTATCGACATCCGATAATTTAAAACCCATAGGAGGATCCGGATATTTGAACCGCATAATCAATCGTGCTGTTGCTGTCGCCGTCGCCGTTCTTTTCGTTAACTTTGCCAAGGTGCAGGAATCAATGTTCAGAGTTTCCATGACCTTCAATGTTTCGGCTTCAGTATTTACAACAGATTTTTCATCATTCATTCCTGTCATATCATCCACTGCATTTTCAACTGCTGAGAAGTCCTCTGGACATGAAAAACAGACGAATAAAGCTAATGAAATTCAAAGAATATATACTTACGCATAACAAATGTTTCAATTCTTTCCAAGCGTTCTTCAATATCAAGACATTTCCTTTTTAACTGAACCAAATCTGTGTCACTATGAGCATTGTCCATAGATTCAGAGATTTCTTCGATCAATCGTTTTTAACTAACAGGAAATGTACGACCTGAATCCATAGTAAGTAAAAATTCAGGCCTTTTAGAATATAGAATTTTACTTGTGTACGGATTATCCGTCGCATTTGTAAATCCGCCAATCAAATCAACACAACTATCTTTGTTTGATAAATCATCCAGGACTGCTTTGTTATTCGATTCTTTTCTTGTTGATTCCACGGGCTATATCAATAATGCTATTTTTTTAACCTTTAATATCATCTTCTCACTTCGGATTCAACCATGCCATGAGTACCACCAGCTCCCCCAAGATCTTTTTGCACACTTGGTACAAAATTTTCATTCTGATCACAATCTACAGCTGTACCAGCATTTGGTATGCGAAGTGCAACACGGCATAACTTATCATCGTTGCGAATATTTTCATTTGCTTGATTTACTTTCTTTCGATGACACTTTTCCGGAGCCATAGACGTCGTGGAAATGAGTACAAAAACACAATCTGCAAAAAAACAGAATTCTTATTCACATCAGTTCGAATCGTATACGTTTCTTATTTTGGGGATCTGGTAATACACAGACTGTTGAAGTACAATCTAAAGATTGCCATTAAAACGGCATTATCTGTTCTCTGTCGGACCTCCATGTACAAAACTCGTTATATATAGCCTAATCTGTCCGTACTGGTATGAACACATGGCGGACCCGTCTAGTGAACGCACCGCGCCTATTGGTTATCTAATGAGGTTTCAAGTGCACTACTGAATGACTGTCTTCAGCGTCCTTTGGTATGACTAAAACACAGCCTCACCTGAATAAAATCAAGAATATTTTATCAGCACTATACATCCTGCAAAAATATCGTCAACCAACCATAGATGTCTCTCTATATTGACCAAAGACTATATACTTTCACTTGAAATCTAACATCACACTATTTCAAAAAATTAAATACACATAAACTTTAATCTTCGACAACACCAAAGTTCCTGAAACTTTTTCCAAATCAATATCAAATTGCTGATATTCATTCTATCAATCTCTAAATCTATGTGCCCAAATAACAGTTACACGCTTTCTTGCCGCCCTCCCATCATCGTGAACTCATTAGCTCGAACTCTACCGAACCGACGACAAACAATCAACATCACCTTCTCAATATTCTTTCCCCTAATGAGCAGCAGAGCCAATCCAACAAATCTACTCTCACATTTTGAAAGGGTGTGTTATTTAAGTGGTCAGTAGAACAACTGATATGATTAGTAAGAAAAATATTTCGAAAATCAGTCAAATAAATGAATAGTCAGTGGATAAAACATATGGTCTGTAACAGACTAAATAATCAGTAATCCAGTTAAATGGTCAGTTACTAAATTAGTTAGGTCATTGCTTTATTATAAACGTCAGTAAAATAGCTGAAAGGATAAGTAAAAACATACAAAGAATGTGTGATATCCAAGCAGACAAGCCAGCTCGAAAAACGCGTTTAAACGCTATATAACTTCAACGCGTGTTACGGTATCAATCGTGGTCCCCGATTGCTGCCGAAAAATGGACCAAAAAGTACAACATTTAAACGAGAAATATTTTTTAACAAATGATTGTTGAACGAGTTTTCGTCAAAATGTTTTCTTTAAAGTCTGCGCTAAGAATACTGACGTCTAATCACGTATTTCCTATGCGCGTGTCTCATATGCAGTAAAAGAATAGAATTACTATCGAAACTCGGTGAATGAAATCAGCCGTGCAAACGTTTACTTCCGACACGGGTGTGTATTTTGCAGGTTTCCATTTTGCATCATATTGAACGTGTCTTTATATATATTTTTAACCGCTTTTTGGTCATAATCGGGAACATAGACCATGACCGTAACACATGTAGTGCTATATAACGCAAGGGGGAAAGTGCGGGCTAGGTGCCGTCAGCGCCTCGGTACCTGCTCGGCACCTTAGCACCTACTCGGCACCTCAGCACCTACTACATACCTTACCGTGTACTATTCATGTGATAACACGAAGATAGAATTCAATTATACAAAATTAATTTTTGAAAATAAGAAAAAAATTGATTTTAATCAGAAAAGGAGAGCTTATTCCCAAGATATTATTATGCAGTGTGCCTTTCTGAAGAAAAACACACCATATGAAAGCATGAACATAGTCATTTATTAGAGAAAATTCTGAGATATCTCTCATTAATAAATGATATGGCAAAAAAAGTACAAAATAATTATCGACTAAAGTTTTTATTAACTACGTACACGTATTGTTCGATCACTCGATAAATGATTTTTCTCATTACTCAAGAGCCAACAACTCGTCTGTTTGTGAATGTACTTGAATGAATTTCCAATACGCACACGAAAATACTTATTTATATTCTGTGGGTTAATCTTGTCGTAAATTCTACATCCGTCGAAAGTTCTTTTTTCCACGTCACCAAGGTCATTTGAAACAACGTTGCCGTCATCTTCATCGTTATCGTCGTCGCTGCCGTCAGAATTCTGTCGACGATCTTCAACTCCATCATTGCCGTCATCATCGTTCTCGTCGTCGTCGTTTTCGTCATCGCTATCAATATCATAATCTTCGTCGTCGTTTCTTAAATAATCGGTTATTCTTGATGATCTATCTAAATCCATTTTAGTAAAGTGACTTAGTCCAGAGAGTGAATCAAATTTCGTTTCTTTCAAAAAATCATTCATTTTCACAAATGATATGAATTCTTTGGCTGATTCGAATGCCCTTTCAATTATTTGTTCAACATCAGACTCCGTTAGAGTTAGGTTTTTAATTGGATCAATTGTATAGTTATACGTCTCTTTGTGAGATTTGTGATGCTGAGGAAATCGGAACTGATAAGCACCGGCATGAATGCCACCACCTTTTATTGAATTAACAATAGAGATTTTTTCACTTTTCTTCAAAAACGATTTGACGCTAAAATTGATAATCGATGAGTAAGCACCTGACAATGAACGAGCAATTCGAAAAGTATTTTCACATGTTTGTGAATTAAACATATACGTATTGATAGCATCAATCGGTAGTTTATTGTTAATTATCAATAAAATCATATAGAGTAAAGTATGTGCGTTGATTTCAATGCACCAATATGTTTGACTTGTTATAAAAGAATTCCTTTTTGATTGCTTTGAAGACAATGAACTATCGGAAGTATTCTCATTCGGCGATTTCAAATACTTTATCCATGCTCTCCATAGTCTGCATGTGAATACCACCGTCCATATTTGATATAATCGTTTTTCAATTGGTGTAGATTTTTCGATCAATGATGATATGATCAAACGCAACAATGACAAATATACATATGTACCCCTGTATTCATCAATATCATGTAACAATTTTAATACAATATCAGAAGAAATCTTCACACATGATGCAAAATTTTGTCGATCTTTTGGATTGATATCTGATCTTAATAAATTATGATCTAGTTTATTCTTCAAGTTAATTAAATCAAATAAATGTTGAATATTTATCGAATAAGATCCCAATTTCAATGAAGCAACTTTCGATAGAAGTCGATTTCTAAATTTAGTGGCCACGTGTATAGGATCTTGCATGAAAAGAAGAATTTGCTGGTTTTTCATAAAAAACCATGACCATGAGTCGGGCAATGTAATTTCAAATATGTCGTTGTATTTTGATAAATCAAAATTGTTCAATGTAGCAAAAAAACGTAGACATAAACGCATTGCTTTCAAATAACGACTGTCACCATCCGTGCTAAAACCAATCACACGTGTACCTTGACTCAAACATTGTTCATAAATATATAACCATCTTCTAAATACATCAATAGATGTGGCTCTATTATTTGAACCATAAGCAGATAATATCATTGGAGAGGTATTCGGTGCTATAGATTGTACCATATGAACATGAATAAATTTCGATCGATCAAATTCATTGAACCACATTTTCAATTCTTCAAAATCATCTGTTTGAAAAAAATTCGGTTGTGGCAATCCGTCAATCAGTGGAGAGGAAAGACCTATAAAAGAATTACTATGAACATCATAATCGATCCGACAAATAGAACTGGTTGAATCTTCAGAACAAAATACATATTGAATATTGTTTGATGGTAAATATTGCTTCAGTAATTCAAAGCGAAATTCACATTCGGTCATTTTCACTTCATGATTTCGGATCAGTTTCTGTAAGTTGGAAATATGAGGCAATGCACAACATAAATTCAAGCGTAGAAATTCATAACAATTCCTACCACCAAATATGTAAACTAACATGGCAAATTGCTGTACATCATCATCATAGCTGAACTGATTTTTTGATTTTTTCATGTTCTCGCAGATATTTTTTCATCCATGGAATAATAATTGAAACATTGATATCGTTGTAGGAACTAGGTGATTGATTCCACAATGCAAATAGTTGTTGGAAAATATCATTTCGCATATGATCGTTATTTATGTGTGAATTTGTAATAAGTGTGTCATTTCTTGACTTTACTAAAAATAACAAACGCTCAATTAATTTTCGAAATCCTAATTGTAGATGGAATTTTCCATCTGTTGACACATAGCCAAGTACTTTTCTTAAAGGACGTAATTCGGTAATATCGTAATCAAGTATCTGTATCAATTCATCAACTGTGATAGATTTTAAAGAATTCATCCGACGAATTGATTGAATTCGAAATAATTCACATAAATCCTTGCCTAAAGCGATTTTCAAAAAATCGTAAAATTTATCATGACAGAAGTTCATCATATCGTCAGTTAATTTATCAATTTGGTATAGATCCATCGATGACAGGAATTAATAAATAAGTGTGTTTCAGTTAAAATATTACTGATCTTAGAAACAAAAACAATAACATTGAAATATGCGTTAATTCTCTCGATCTAGTATATTCAATGAAGTATATTGAGTTATTTATCCTAAGTCAATATAGACACTCACAAATATAGATTCCAATGAAAATCACAAAATAATTACAAAATTTTCATGATAGCAGTAACAAAGTTGAGTGTGTATATGAATTAAGAGAAACAAAACTAAACGCAATGAAATGGCAGATGATTATTTGCTAAAAAGTCGTTTAGGAAATACAAAGGCCAATGGATGTATCTATTAGTGAATATAGATGAAGTAAAATTTAGAAGAATGTACATATGTATGTGCTATAACTGTGAACTATCTATATCTACATGTGACAACTCATTTTCTGTTCATGTGTATAACAGTTACTTCTTTTTCGCTGGTCGAGTCGCACTAATTGAGTGAGAACGAACACGTTTTGAGGAAGGAGACGTTCGTTCGCTATTCGCATCTTCTAGTTCAATAAACGATGTTTGAGAAATGTCATCGAACGTTTCAGACTGTTCCGTTGAAGAATAAACATAATTGTCGTTTCTTTTGAAATGTTTCTAAACAAAAAGAAGAAGGAACTTTAGCATTCCCGCTATAATAAGAAATTACTCTTTTGTTGAACTTGGCAAAGTGTTTTTCTTTAAAATGTCGGCAAAACGTTGACAACTTGAAGAAGTGTGCTTCTGTATATGGCAATTTGAATTTGGTGTTACAATGACAAGTCAGAACAGATGTGAATGTAGTGTCCGTCGATTTGTTAATCTCTACGAAATAATCCGTACCACTCTGCAAACAAGAATTCGCGTCACTGATAGACTTCCACCACTTGTCGAGACGTCGTTCAATATCAGCTAGATGACCAAGTTCATCTAGACGTTCTTTTTGTGAGGATAAATAAGACGGTGCTATTGATTGATTATGTAAATCCGAAGGTTGTGTTGTTGCTGCATTGCTGAACGATAAATCATGAAAATCCAAAGGTTGTGTTAATAAAAGATCTTTCTGTGTAGCTGGTTCACGTTCAGCTGATTTTGTGCTTGAGTGAGCAGATGAATGTTGTTTCGACGATCGTTTCGACGATCGTTTCTTCTTTCTTTGTTGTTCTACTTTCAGTTTCAGTAAGTCGATCAAATTATCTATTGCAAGTTTAACACCTAATTTAACATAGTACTTATTATCAGACGTGATAAAACAACATCAATTTTTCAGCTCGTCTATATCTTTTGAATCTTGCTTCAAAACTAACAAAATATCGTCGCATGTCGCATCAAGCAGATGGGATCCATTTCGTATTGCTTGAAAACTGAACAGTTTAACTAAATCATCACCATATTTTTGTTGAACAAATTCATAAAATATTTGGTGGTTGTAATCAAAGATATCGTCCGGTAAACCACTGAAGTTTTCTTGGGTTCCAAGAGTTGCAGATAATACCATTGCACGAAGACAGTATCTTAAAAATCAAAAAAATATTTAGAAAAACTTCATGAGAATAAACTGTTGTTATGCTTATATGTGAATGTGGCTATGAGTCCTTGAAACTCAAATCTGTGTTTGTAAGTAAACATAAACCAAAGAACAGCAGTTAATGAAGTATTTTTGGACTCTTGTCATCTTCCAATATTCAGTTTAACTCAAACAAACAATACTTATGTATCATTAACCATTTACAACTAATGATACGTTCAGTTATTACTTTTAGAGTTACGATGTGCTAGATTTCCGTTCTCTGAAGTTTTTGTACAAAATAGTCCCCTCTCATACAGAAAATCTATCCTCTTATGTTTACGTATTTCTCAAGTACTTGTATCGCAATGCTCGTCAGGGTCAACGGTCGTGCACACATACATAGTAAGTAAATACTTCATTAAAGTATAATTAGCCGTAAGAAGAACGAAAAAAATCTCTAATTGGACGTTCGATGTAAACGGGAAAATCTCGATTAGCGATTTGTCCATTAGAGGGCAGTATTAGCTAATGAGTTGGTACGATTTTATTTCCAGGTTCAGGTCAAAATATGCTTTATATTTCAGTATTTTCTAATCAGTTAGTCAGCATTTGGTCAGCACCTGAGCATCCGGCCAGCACCCAAGCACCCGTTCAGCATCTGGACACCCACTCAACACTCGAGCACCTGCTCAGCACCTGAGCATCCATTCAGCACCTACGACGATTTTCGGATGCTGGGGTGCCTGCACTTTCCCCCTTGATTCGGTCACAAAATCAACAAAAATGAAATATTTTCATCAATTGTATTTGAAAAAGTGGGAATGTTTATCGACAATTTATATCGTCATACTATATTTCCTCGTCTATTCTGTATGTGTGTTTTCTCGTTCTATTCAAATTTATCGTGGTAAACTTCTTTTGACTGTTAATTTTTTGTTGTAGAGAAAGAATACTTTCTATGTTAGCTTTTTCTGCGTTGGTCTCGTGCTGTGGTATATTCGAAATCAACGGTTTTGAAGGAGAATATACTTCTTTCTACGATATACTAAATAAACTGTTGACTGTTATGTTTGTATACCCAGGTCGAACAATCCCATACTCGGATCCCATCGAATCTCATCGGATCCGATACAGAATTTTATCAGATCCTACAGGAATTCGACGGATCCGATGGAATCCTGGTGACGGAATCACGTTGGATTCCGACGGTCTCGGATCCGATCGGATCCCACGTCGGATCCAAAACATGGATTTCCTGGATTTTCTAAGGGTCATCATAGAATATAGCTAGAAAGATCGCTCATAAAATTTGCAACAACCGACGGGAATTTTCTAGTCGGATTCCAATGCAATTCCGTTTCCAGGAATCCGATCGGATTTTGTCAGATGGTCGGATCCAGCATCGGATTCGTTGACCTGGGATGGGACCATTGTTTCATCAATAATGAAATGACGATAACAATCAATAGGATAGATTGTATTATCTCGCGAAGTTGGATTTACTTTGTCGACGATCCCAGTCTTCTTGAAATTCACCATCCGATTCTGAATCTATTTCATTCCATACCTGTCAATATAATTAATTCACTATCAGAAAATTCTTTTTCAAAGCTTGGGGATTCGATTTCCATTTTCATAAAACCAGCATCTAAAGCACTCACATCGCTGCGTGAGTTTTCGCTGTTGTCTGTGTCGACTTCTTCAGATGTCATTCGTTCAGTCGATGTATTGTGCGTTTGGCAATTTAGAGAAGAAAAATAGGAGAAAACGATGTGTATACTTATTGAAGAATGTGAACTACATATAGGTAGAATAGTTATCCAGGTATAGAGAATTATCCGCATAGAATATCATCTTCTATGATATCCATAGAAAGAAATCCAGGTAGCAGAGATCAAGAAGGGATGATATACGACGAGATATATCAGAATAAAAGAGAGAATATCTAAGAAATCTAGGGCAGAATATCATGAAATAATATCTTTGAAAACACATTCAGAAGATAAAGAAGTTCATCCAGGTATAGAGAGACGAGTGGTATATGAAGTAAACTGTATTTGTTAGAAAAAGACGTCTCACCATAAAACATCTAAGTGAACTCAAAAAATGAATTTATCTAATACACATAAGAGAAAAGAGTATAAAGCGAAAAAAAATGAAATTTTTTCATTTTTTTTGTCTCACTTCTATCGCATAAAATACGCATGAAAAANACATGTGAATAGCTTTGTCAAATTCATAGTTTAATTCATAAAGTTGGCCTAACTTTTCCATACAAAATGAGACACTATGTCCGTCATAAGTATCATCATTTAATAAATTCTTCAAAGTGTTTTCTTTATAATCAATTGCTAATAAGAAATTTTGTTTCGATTGATCACTGCTACCGATCTTTGATTTTACCTCATATATTTCACTTAATCGATTTAGAGAATCCACACGATCGCAATTAATTGCTGTTGAATGATGTAGAACTTTATCACTGAATGTTTTAGAATAATCATGATGTTTTTCCGCCAATTTTTGATAAGAATACCCGATTTGATTATAGAGTTTCGCTATTTCATTGATTGCATCAATATCTGATTTACCAAATTCTTTCCATAATTCAATAGCTTTATTATAATAATCTATAGCCAATAAATAATTCTCTAATATCCATTCTTGATGACTACCCATGATATCCCATTTAACGGCAGAAAGCCATCGTTGTTCATTTGGAAAGATTTCTAATAGTTTACTAAAAATAATGTCGACGTCATTTTGCTTAGTTGCGTAAGAAGGTAAAAATCGTTTCAATCGAATGATATTATTTTTCCGATCTCGTTCTTTATTTTCAAAAGAAAATGTAAACGATGAGTTGTGTCGTAATTTCAAATGTATCGTCCAAAATTTGTCGAATGAACTATTTAACACTTCAAATTCTGTTCCAGGCATAAACAAAACTTCGTTTTCATCGGGTATGTGACTTATATCCGCAATAGGTGCATATGGACGCGATAATAAACATGGATCATAATCAATGAACAATTTATAATGAAATATTTGTTACATGGTGATTTTAAACGATTAATTTCTTTTTGTGACATAATTTGACTACGATATACTGTTCTATTCGATATCCCATAATCTTCAGCTATTGTTCGATTTTCTTCGAATCTATTATTTAACGTCTTATAAATATCTTGTATAAAAATTCCAAATAAAAACATCAATTCAATATTTCGTTGACGAAGTGCTTGATTTAGAATTGAGAAGATTGAAATCGAAGGATCGGTATACCATTGTACAGCATTCTCAGATTTATATTTATCTGCAAATCTATCCAAATTGCTCAGTGTCTGTTCACTATCGGTTAATAAACTTTTAGTGTATGTACTAATCGTTTTAAATAATCATCCGGATATTCTAAATGACATAAAATATCAAGATATCCCACCCACCAAGATCCAAAATCATCTGTTGTATTTTGTGATTCAGGATTATTAGGATTGAACATCTGACAGATGGTGAAAGATTCAACAATGGTATGTAAATCTTCTATCAAATTCATGATATTGGTGTAAAGGCCTTTGATCTGAAAAGTTGAGAGATGATAACCAATGATAAAATATCAAATTTAAACTTACTTTACAATATCGATTTTGTAATTTTTGCAAATTATCATGACTATTTTTATTGGAAGTCGAATAGATATAAATTGAATGAACATGATTGAAGTCAGAAACTTGAGACGATGATAAAAATTCAGTAAATTTATCAGAACAGACTACGAAAGTCGTGATAACATTCGTTGTAATGTACTCAAAACATTCTTTTTCGGAAGAGAAATCATGTATGAAAATGAACTGTTTCAAACAGATTTTGTCGAAGTTTGATAATTGTTGTTGATTGTTCATTGGGATGATCTAACCATAGTAAATGTAATGATTCAAGTTTCACTTCGTCATGAGTAAACAATAAATCTGCCATTTGAGTTATTTCTCGTTCTCAGAAGAAGAAGAAAATGTAGAAAGTGTGTTTTCCTTGAATTTGTTCTTATGTTGTCAATGTCAAGATCTGATCGAGGAAGAAAAATGCTTTCAATCAATGTGTTTTTAGATTGCAAATAAAACTATTTCCATACAGACAAACATAATTTATTCTGTGAACAAACATATTTCCTATCACCTATAGTCCATACATTCAATACGGGACAATTAAGACAACAGAACTTGTCTTGTCACTTCATCGAGCAAAAGTACAGATTGTATTTGTATTTGCGCATTTCTACAACATTGGTAATGTGTGTTTCGTAATGAATGATTATTCGAATACATGCTCTTTTTATGAACGTGCTCTTCAAATTGGACAACAAGTTCCTACCAGAAAGCCGTTGTACTGAAAAAAAGGTGTTCTACCAAACCAAAAAAGCAATCGGTCGGCGGGCACAATCGCTAAACCTCGCATGGTTTGGTCGCAAAAAAGGTTTCGTATCGACCCTTTACATGATCGATGATAAAAAAGGTTTCGCACGAAACCTCTCCCCAAAATATTTTCAAAAGGCTTTTTCTGAGCTTCCATATGCAATACCTCTGGAGAATTTCCCACCACTGACGCCCTTGGTCAGTGCGTAATCCTTTTCCATGAGAGTCTTTATCTGCCTGATCCTGCCCAGTACGATAAGACGCCAGCATAGTAGAGTATTTCACCAGTTCTTCCTGTGAAAATCATATTTACACCACCAGACATCTGATCCTCGACGAGCTAGGAGGTTTATACATAGATGGGATTGTTTTGAGTTGCATTCATGCATGTCATATATGATATACACAAGAAACTGGAAAGTTACAAATGTTTCGAACTGCTTCAATCCAGTTCTCACGCTTACTTCTACTCAAGTAGCGCCTAGAAACATTTGTAACTTCCCAGTTTCTTGTGTATATCATATATGACATGCATGAATAGAACTCAAAACAATTTCATCTATGTATAAAGCTCCTAGGTTGTCGAGGATCAGATGTCTGGTGGTGTAAATATGACTTTCACAGGAAGAACTGGTGAAATACTCTACTATGCTGGCGTCTTATCGTACTGGGCAGGATTAGACAGATAAAGACTCTCATGGAAAAGGATTACTCACTCACAAGAACGCCTTACCTACACCGCTCAGAGAATTGTCTATACTAACTCACAGCTGAAAATAGACTCACTCAAACAGCTATGTAAAATGAAAATTCCTACCTTTCTCTCGTCCGCTCAATCGCGCTTCTCCATCACTAATAGACCACTAGCGACCTGAAATAATTCTAAAGCACAAACATTGGTATTCACTGACAACGAGTACTTACATTTCATTCGCGTATTCCGCCCAACATATAACCTAAACAGCGAACAATAATACAGTAAAACCTGTCTAATCTGAACACCAACGGGACTGACCAAAATCGTTCAGTATAACGAGGTGATCATATATAAGGGGTGCCTGCAACGAAGTGAGAGAGAATGAAAAGATCAAACCTTGTATAGACTGAATTGATTTTATTGAAATAGACAGTAGTTTTTGCAAAGAAATATATTACTGCAACATCTTCCACGTGACTAGATGAAAAACTCATTTTTACATCAGATTCAAACTGCTTTGAAAAAGTCAAGAATAGATCTTTGTTTCGATGTGTCTGACTGCAGATACACATCAATTAACTTAGATTGTAATTGTGTCACAAATTGGTGTAATTCTGGATGCTGTTTAATTGACAGTAGGTGTAACCGACGTACAATTTTCAATGCTTCCGATAATGAAGGCTGTTGTTCATAAATAATATCTTCATCGAATTGTGAATCCTCATGAGAATGTTCATCTATACTAAGAACCTTTTCACTGTCATCGTCCCACTGATTGAAAACTGGTACATCTTGGTCGAAGTTCTACAGCCAAAAGAATGAGATAGGAGAGAACCATATTATTTTCAAAATCTAAAATGAAGATCTTCTCAACTTACCACAAAATCGTCTGCTGACATGGCATGTCCACCTATTGTCAAGTGTTTCAGCACTTTGTCAAGTTCTGCCAATGATTCCTTCTCAACAATTATATTTTCAGGTGGTGATACTAGTGAACAACTCGAACATGAAGAATCGGATGGAATCTCAAAGCCGGCCTTTCTGAAAGTGTTTCGAATTGTTGATTCTGTGACCGACTTCCATGCTGACTCTATCCAGCAGATCGCATCTAACGCTGTAATGATGACATCATCGGCTGAATAAGCAGTTGCTGCATTGGCGATTATGTGCTGAATCAGATGACGGCGATAGTGAGCTTTAAAGGCCCTGATCACTCCCTGATCTAACAGTTGTATCTGAGCTGTTGTGTTTGCTGGGAAAAATTTTAGTGTAATATTTTTCAGTTGAATGTCGGGGGGATGCACTGGTGCATTGTCCAAAAATAGCAGAATTTTTCTCTTTTCTTTCTGCAGTGTCATGTCCACATCTTCAAGCCATTTCGTAAAAATGTACACGTTCATCCAGGCCGTCCTATTGTAGCACCACGTCACTGGTAACTTGGTAATGTCCATATTTTTGAAACATCTAGGTTTTGCTGCTTTGCCTAAATAAGAATAAATAGGGTTTGTAATTAATCTAGATACCCATACGGTAACTAACCAATAACGACAGGTTTCATTTTATCCATTCCAGCCCAGTTTGCACACAACAGGATTGTATATCGGTCCTTTGCCTTCTTTCCACCTTTGCAATCGTTCGTGTCGAGGACGAGGGAACGATCTGGTTTCAGCTTGAAAAAGAGACCGGTTTCATCGCAGTTATAGATGTTCGCTGGGTGATAGCCTTCAAGAATTTTTGGTAAACGCGCCTTCCAGTCGTCAACGGTTATGGGACTAATAGAAGCTCCTTCACCCGAAATAACCCTGAATTGAATATTGTGACGTGCCCGAAAACGTTCCAACCATCCGTTACTAGCTTTGAAACTTGAAGCACGATCCATTTCAAGCGCAACTTTCTTCGCGTATTCCTGTAGAATTGGCCCGAAAATCGGGATCTTTTTTGATCGTTGCGCAACGAACCACTCGTACACAGCATTGTTAATGGCTACACCGACTTCATCCTTCATTTTGCGCTTGAATTTCTTGTTTTAATTACTCTCGTAATCTTCCAAAGATTCATGCTTCCTTTTCAGGATGTTCGAGACAGCTCCAAGAGACACGTGGAACTTATCTTTCAATTCTCGATGTGATACACCACGTTCTTTCTCTTTGATGAGTTGAATTTTCTGTTCAAGATCAAGATCTTTGCGCGATGCCATCGTAAAATACGAATAAATACCGAGTGATTAAGATAAAATGATCTACTCGTCCGCCTTTTCTCTTTGCTATGTTTTCTCTCTCTTCAGAATGAAGAAAAGAAAAGCATCAATTGTTATAATGACGAACACGTTATCAATACCAATCAGATATGTCACTCCACCAGCGCCCTCTATATCTGTTCATATTAAACAGGTTGAGTCATACAGTAGGAATAAGAAAAATACGTTCACTTTCAGAACGACGAGGTGATCATACAGGAGGGGTGTTCAGTTAGTGAGGTTCCACTGTATTTTTTGATGTAGTACGAGGTGTATCGGATCTAGACAAATGGTTTACTTGGTTTCGCCATAAACTGCTCTAAGTTGAGTATGAAAGAATATTTTTTTAAATAAAATGATGGATTTTCTGATTGGGCAAAGAAATTTGTGATATTTCTGTCTCCCCTTGATGGCTTGGTTTGCTTTCCATGAAATAGAAATAAACGGTGTGCCGTCAATTGGTCGAAAGAAGCCTATTGATGAAGAAAATAAGAGAAAATTAATCAATTAGTTGATGAATAATTATATCCTTTATCGACTATAGAAGAACAAGTGAACATTTCAAGAAAGATTAATCACAGACAATGATAAGAAAAGAAAAAGAGAAGGTGTCATTTTTTTTTCGTTTAGCAACAACAAACGATAATCCATTTAAATATTCCATTGAAGTAATAAGATCATCACTGTATCTCACGTTGAGATTATCTACACGACGTTGAATTGCAATTGTTTTAGATTGTTTTGACCTTGAATTTAATCCTGCATAAAACTGTTACTATTTGACAATCTCGTATCTTTTATCTTTCTAAGTTTATATAATGCACTATTCACCATCATTACTACTGTTCAGTACTTCAGACCAGTTAAATTTGTAGGAGAACTTTATTGCGCTTATACACATGTTCAATGTCATAATTAACAACGATCTCTCTCTTCAATAATTTTCAATTTAAATGCTCCTTTATTTAAGGTTAAAAAATCTATATATATAAAGAAGAAAGTTTGTCTGTCTGTCTGTCTGTCTGTCTGTTCGCTATGCATTCAGCCCCTGTAGCCGCTATCGGCGTGAAACTTTCCACAATGCTTCCTGAGACCCAGAGGAAGGTCGACATCTACTTTTTCCCGAGAACAAAGGAGCCAGCTGTTTGCTGCAGGCANTTCTGTGTTATACAGAATGTTGTTTGTTCTGCCCCCCTACGCTTAGCGCCACCTATGCCACTCGCGGGCCCCCCCCCCCCCCCCCCTAGAAGACATACCTTTGAGTTTTGGGAATTTCAATAAATGTTGACCTTTGATCTTTGACCTTTGACCCTGACACAAACATACATACAGACACGCAAACTAATTTTTTTCATAGGACCCTCCTTTCAGTGGAGGAAATAAAAATGATGAATTGCTACAAAAACAGAAGAAAACAGGAATATGAATTCGCAAACAAATGAATGTCATTGTCTTTGATTGAAAAAGAATAATCACTCGTGTGTATCTTGAAAAGGCCGTCGATAAGTCAACCGACGGGTAGTACGAGGATTTTCCAAGCTGGAGAGTAACTGTTTGAAGAAACTGATCTTTCCGTTCAGTTCTCCTCGTTTCTCAACGTCATCGATTTCTTTGATTTTTTTGTTCAAACTTTCAAGTAAAATGTCGATATATGCCACTAAATTGTATCCTTTCACTTTTTGTTTCATATCTTGACATGCTTCAAGTAAATCTTCTAAAGCGCAGTCGAAAGAAAACTGTAAAATTTTTTTTTCTTCTTCAACCAGATCGATCTTGTCGTCGACTAGTTGTTTGCTATTCAAATATTTGTAATATTCATCGCGCATGTTTTCATAGATTTTTTCGATGGTCTTCTCGACGATTCGCCATTCTTTGTAATCGTGATAATGATGTTCATAGGTACACTTACTACCACCACGAGATTTTGCACAATCTGGATGACTGCATGTTGTCTTTCTGTTAAAAGCGGTACAGTTTTGAAATTGCATACTTCCCACACCTTCGATGTATTCGAGTTCACATTTGATATGACAATTGCAGCAATGAATGGTACACAATGTATTCTTGTATGGTACTGTGACTTGTTCTGGTCTTTGAATCTGTTCACATTTCTTAAAATCTTTGCTGGCTTCTATTTTCGAATGTAACTGTGAAGAACGACGTTTGGCTGATTCGAGAAGAGTCACAAGTTCTGCAGTTGTATCTAATTGGACTTTGATAGTTGCAATGTTAGCCATGATTCGATGACGACTTTCAGTAACCGCTGAAAAGACATCGGTGGAAACGCGACGCATCTTTCGAATTTGAACAAGTAAGTTGTCTAATTGTTCACAAGCTAATTCATAGTTGCCTTGTTGTTTTCTCTCATATATTTTTCTGTTACTTGGAGAAGCATTGCTGGGAACTCGACCGAAAAATGAGCTATCCGCACAAAATTTTGGCATACTTTCAACATCGACTAAACTTGTACGATGATCTAGACGAAGAAATTCATTCAAATCACACTTGTTCGACTCTAAAACGTCGGTAAACGTGAAAAAAGCGACGATGTTGTCGAGAACTGCAGTCGGAAGATTATTCTTCAATAAAACAAAGGTAGTGCGAATGTCAAGACTTGCACGATTATCACCAGTACCATTACAAACAAATACAATACAATGGATGTGTTGGACCTTTTCGGCCACAGCTGTAATTATTTGAATGTTCTTGTCATCTTCCTCGTCGCCAGATGTGTCAGCAAGACCAGGTGAATCGATTATTTGGTAAACATCTCCATCGACAGAGCGATAAACATATCGAACACAAGTAGAAGTAACACTCATCATCGATCTGTCGTGTCGTTCACTTTGTGGATCCACAATTCGTTGCATCTCATTGACACTTGAATTCAGAAAATAGTTGTGTAGTAAATTGATTAAAGTGGATTTTCCTGTGCCCGTTTTTCCGGCAAGAAGGATATTAAAGCTGTTACGTAAATCTGTTTCAGTGATTGTCTCTGGTAGAATATTATCTGCTCTAATAATTCCACAAAAGTCACCGCGCGGTCCAATGATGGAAGTTTGAAGTCCTTCATGAACAAGATCAAGGGGAAGAGAAACGTCACGATTGGTCAAACGCCCTGTCACATAGGTAGACGACATCTGATGAACCCATCGATCTAACGATATAGTGAATCCATTCACGAATCGCCATCGATCTATGATGGCCGCGTCAATTGTTTTAGCGTTGATTTTCGTTCCACTAATCGTGCTACTTTGTTTCTCGGCCTGCTCTCGATCAAGAGTTCCTTTACTGGACGTCGAAAAACGTTCTTCAGTTTTGGCATCATCACGAACGTCTTTACTTGTAGTTAGGTCCCTCGTAGCATCCGTTTGTCTTTTTCCTTGTAGATCGACTTGGACACCCCATCCATTTCCTTTAGCAGATCCTTCAGTTAAAAAGTTCTTTTTCTCGATTTCATGTCGGTTTTCGGTGTTCTGTGTTTTGGCATCATTCAAATCAGATGTTTCGTATTCATGAGCCGTCTCTTGTCGACGATGCTTCTTATTATCATGACTTTGCTCATAGGAGGTGGTAATATCTGCCTTCAGGTCGTCGGAAATACACTTCGTTCCACTTGCAAGTTGCTGACGCAATTCATCAATGGAATACTTCTCAAAACCCGACGTGATGGAATTGATAACTGCCTGCTTGATCAAATCACAATTTATTTCTGTAGCGCCAACGCCAATCGTTTCAGTCAGACTGAGTTTACCCATTATAGTTGCAGAGAGACGCTCTAAATAGGAACGACTAACAATCATACTATCCTTTTGACTGTCACCAAAGATATCGTTGACTAACTGACATTTGGCCACTTGCTCAGCATTAATACGAACGTTTGCATGTGCTGTTGACGTACCGGTCAATGTGTAGTAGTATTGAAGTAGAAATTCATTTTCATCTGGTTCTGCTAACTGTCGAACGATATCTTTTAGATCGTCTTTATCACTGACGTCGAAGTGAATATGCAGCGGATGTTTTTTATTAATATCCATCAATGAACCGTAGAATTTTCGTTTCGTTCCATGAATTGCTATTTGTAGTTCGGCCAGAAACTGTCGGAATGGACAAATCCTGATATTCTCAACTGTGATGGGCAAACTGTGATACATTTTCTTTGCTTCATCCGCCAATTGACGTTTGTGTCCTTCATTCAATATAGTTTGTAGCGATATCTCAAGCGAACCCAATAACGGACGTGCTTCAGCAATCTGTCGGGTAGATGGACGAACAAAAAAACGAACAATACCCGGGGTTACCCAGCGACATCTCTCAGCAATTTGCTTCCAATCAGTCGTTGTATTGGGTAATGATTTTGTTAAATCACGTGTTGCTTTTGTCGGATAAGCGACAACTTGATGAACTTGTTTAAGACATCCATCTTCAATAATTTCGACATCGCATGTGACTTCTGCACTGTCAATGATTAAATCTTCATTGACATCTATCGATTTTGCCATCGATAGAAATATAATCTGGTTGATTCTCTCTAAAATACAAGACTTATTACTAATTCAGTTCTGTACTTCTGATCTTCAGGCTTGCCTAAGAGTATTGTTTTCGGGCGAAAAGGTATGCATCAAACACTATATATCGATATAAATAGGCATGCAACAATCCCGATTCTAGAATCGAATAGAATTGGATAGAACTGGCTGGGATTGACTGGAAGTTATTTGAAACTGACATGACATAGTTAAGAACTTTGTGAGATCTTACAGGAAACTAATTCTAAATGCTTTTTGTTGCTGAAAATTTCTCTGCCATTAACGAAGATTGTTCGAAACTAGTGTTAGCTGAGTTAAAATTTTAATAATGATGTAGCATATCTTTGTGCAGGATTCGACTTTTCCTTGAGCAGATTCGTTTCAGTGTAGGTTCCAATCAAACTAACACTGATTCCAAGTACAACTTGATGAGCTCTATCGGTTCCAAAAACAAAATTTCAAAAAAAGTCTTTCCCTCACCCCAAAAACCTCAAAATTCTAGTAAAACCCGGGCGGATTCGTCTAGCAATCACATACAGCGATTTCAACACTTGTTCCAGATCAAACTCGACGAGCTCTATCGGTTTCAATCATAAAAAAATTTTACCCCACACTCCACCCACACTCTTACCCACCCTCAAGAATCCGCTCAAGAAAAAGTCGAATCCTGCACAAAGATATCCTACGTTAAGAATGTATTTCAATCTATCTCGGATCAATTCCACCCAATTCTGGGATTGGTGCATGCCTAGATATAAATGTGTAATTTGATATTTTGTTTTGCAAAAGAAAAGAAAAAGAAGCAAATAGCGTATCGTCGTTGCCTAGTGACACACTGCGTTGGTTTTTACCATATCGTCTGACGATTTATCTTGACTGTAATGTTAAATGAAGAAAAAAGAAGAGAAATAGAAAGAAGAGAACGAAAAAAACCCAGTGGGAAAAATCCAAGTGAAGAAACAAATTGACTACTGTTAGCTCGCATACACGAGTGTATACTTTTATTAGAATGGCCATATATAAAAAATATACATGTATATATAGGTATAGCGGAACACGAGAAAGTAGAGATATAGATAAAGAATGAGAGAGAGACGGTAACAACTGCCAATGTGAACCGTTGATTTGTGTTTCTTTATTTTCTAAGTTTAGTAGAAGCTGTCACAAACCTTCTTGAGGGTGAGGGTATATGGTTTCGAAGGTGACAATGAATATGTAAACTAACCCCACCCTCACCCACCCTCAAGATGTAGGACTTAATTATTAAGAGATGGAACGGTGGAATAACGATTTCCTGAGATAAGATGTGTGAAAATAACGACTGATTAGTTGATCGATTTCTTGGATGTTTAGATCGTTTTGAATGTGCTTTAATGTGGATTAATCTATCGCGGTTTTATGGGTTTTTATTGATTTAATGGGTTTTAAAGCATTCTAATGCACTCGGGTGGCGGTCATGCCTTTCTGATTGGTTTTTGACGTTGGTTTTTGTTGATTGTTTATATTTTTAGGTGTTTCAGTTCGGGTTGTTATAAACTTTGTGGTCTCTTTCACATAATAATCCTCTGTGTTGCACAGGTGTTGCCTGATTTAAGCTCATTAACTTGCAGTTTGATTGGATAAACAATACCGGGTTCTGGTATTGACATGTTCTCATTGAAGCTTCTTTCTAATCTATCTAACTTGTATTTCAAATCTAATGCTTAATTTTTAATGGTTCTTTTTGTTGGTCATTTCTATTTGTTGTTGTCTCCATTCATATTGTGAGTTGTCTATGGCGCAGCATTTTTTGTAAAGTCAACTGTTTTTGAATATCTTTTATCAAATGGAAATTGAAATATTTTATCTCTCTCTCTTATTCCCTCGACTGTAGAGAGGGTCATATGAAATAAAATTGTTTGTTTGTTTGTTTGTTTGTGTCAGGGTCAAAGGTCAAAGGTCAAAGGTAAAAAAAAACATTTTTTCCTACAACCATTGAACACATTGAAAACTTCTAGTGTGCTGGTCTTAGAACGAGTGCGGATGAAGGGTGAAAGCGGGGGGCCTTGGGTGAAACTATGGGTGGGTGTATGGGTGTGGGTGGGGGTCTTGGGTGAGACTATGGGTTGGTGTATGAACGTGGGTGGGGGTCTGGGGTGAAACTAGGGGTTGATGTATGAACGTGGGTGGGGTTCTAGGGTGAAACAGGGGGTTGATGTCTGAGCGTGGGTGAGGGTTCATTGGTTTTTTTTGGGCCCGGTGCCTGGAGATAGGTAGCTGGAATCAATGATCGGGGGATCTGTGTGCTTAGTGGAGGATTTTATGTAGGTCAAGTGTT